GAGCGTGATGAGACAGGTCGTGACAGGGAGGGGGACCGGCAGGAAGGGGAACATTCATAACGTCACTTTCGGGGAGGAGGGGGTGCAGCACCATGATGTGGCAACACGTGAGAAACGAGAGGGGGCCCAGGGAGCCCTGCCTGCTTGCAGCGTCGCACTTTCTGGAATTTCTCGCCGCCGCTAGCAGGCAGGTCCCCTCGAGCGGGCGTACAGCGCAGCCGACCAGGACACCCATGCACACCGCAATCATTCAAGGTGCTCGAGCAGTCATATACGACAAATCACACAAAAAGACACGCACGAAGCCACACACACACACATCCACACACAAAAAACAAGAAATGGGACGCCTCAGACATCCAAGGAAGGTTTCCACCGCAACAGCTCTCGAGCCCGGCGAAGGGCGAAAGCTCTAGACGGGCACTGCGAATGTTTTCTGAGAACGGCCCTATGCTGGAATCTTCATCAGCGGCGTCGCACACACATACACATGCGCAAGCGCTCTCTAACACACACACACACACACATACACACACACACACACACGCACACACACACACGCACGCACACAAGCGCCAACACACATGCCCGCCCGGTCACTCACCTCGACGTTGAAGTGGACGTGGGCGAGGGGGTCCAGGAACTCCCCAAAGGTGGCCTTGAAGAACTCATTGTAGTCAGTGGGGGCCACCTCCTGTGGATTCGAAGCGGCGGGTCGGCGTCGGCAGAGCTAGGTCGGCGGCGAGGGCGGAATCGAGGCATGCCAGGTACTGGGCGGCTGCGCGCCCCTGGCGATCGTGCGTGCTCCGACATGGGCCCCAGCGCGGCTGATGAAGTTAAAGCGCGCTGACGAGCACTGCAGCACCGGCCCGACCCCTTGCTCGGCGCGTGGCTGTGGCAGCAAAAGCAGGGCACAGGGGCGACGACCGTGCAGGCACAGCGGCGCGGCATCGTGCGCGCCTTGGGGTTGCGCGTCCAGATGGGCTTGTTGTCGTTCTGCAGCCTCCAGTCCCACACGTCCTCGTAATCGGTCTTCATCACCGGCTCAACCTGGCAGTCAAATGGGCGGTCAAAAGGTCTATGAGCGGCGGACGAGTAGATGCCCAATCGATCAGGGGCGGTCATCAGAGGAGTGGTCTATGGGGCACCAACTGCTTTTGGTCAAGGCAGGGCGCGCCGTTGGTCCGAGCGCGGCTGCTGTGGCATTTCTGCCTTGCATGCAGGAGGGCTGGTGGTGCTGGCCACGCAAACTGTGCCCCTAGGTCCCCAACCGCGAGCCCCAGAATGACAAAAAAGTCATGTTTGTCGTACCACCTGACTCAGGTGGTTGCAGAACATGAACTGCCCCTTTTGGGCCTGAAAGGGCTGCTTCCGCTCACCTTCTTGGGCTCCTCGCCCTTCTCCTTGGCCTTGGCGTCCTCGGCCGCCTGCTTGCGCTCGGTGGCAGCCGTGTCCTCGACCTGGGGATTAGGGAGCCGGGGAGGGGACGCGTGGGGGGGCTTGAGACAAGCGGCGCTAGCGGTGTGGTGTGCGATAGATCCTGATTGATTCGGTGAAGGGAGGCAAGGACCCAGGCAATGCATGGGGAGCTCCAGGCCCACAAGCGCTTGCTGGGATTTGGCTGAGAACACATTGCGAGTGACCTGTGAAACCTGCGACGCATATCCCACTGACAGGCCTGTGCACACGCGCGCGCTGACAATTCACGCACAAACACAAACACAAGCCAGGAGTGCGACGCCTCAGACATCCAAGGAAGGTTTCCACCGCAACAGCTCTCAAGCCCGGCGAAGGGCGAAAGCTCTAGACGGGCACTGCGAATGTTTTCTGAGAACGGCCCTATGCTGGAATCTTCATCAGCGGCGTCGCACACACACATACACACACCACTACACACGCACACATGCACCCACGTGTGCATGCGTGCACGTACACTGACACATACACAGATACACTCACACAAATTCCACAGCCCCGGCTGCACACACACACACACACACACACACGCACGCAAGTCGCCTCGGGCCCCACCTGCTTGGGCTCCTTGGTGGCGGAGTACAGCTTGATGGGGAACTGGATGAACTGGCTGTACTGCTTGATCAGCCGCGCCAGTCTCACGGGGTCTGCCAGCTCCTGGGCGTCCTCCTTCAGGTGCAGGATCACACGCGTGCCGCGCACCTGGGTTCAAACGCGGATTGCGATGGGTTGCACGGAGGGTGGGTGATTGCGTGAGGAGGGGCGCTGCGATAAGGGGAACGTTGAGGGACAAGAGGAGTTTCATGGATCCGGAGGGGAGGGGGGCAGGCGCTAGAGCAATTTGGAGGGGACTTTGTGTGACTTTTGCTGGATACGTGTGCGCAACCGTCGGGGAGGCCGCGCACGTCACGGCCACGGGCCCGTGTGCAGGGGGCTCCAGATGCAGTCTGCAAGGGTGTCTACCTGGGTCTACCTACTGGCAACCACCCTCCGACACAGCACAGAGCCGGGCGGTGCAGGCCTGCTGCCAGGGCGCTGCTTGAGGGCCACCGCCGCGCGGGCCACCCCCTCCCCTCAGCCATACATGGCAAACCCACCCCGCTGACCTTGACCCCGCCAGAGCTCCCCTCCCCATACATATCAACCCTTACCGCTGCTCGCAACCTGTGCCAGCCCCTCCCTGCAAGATCCTCCCCCGCCCCCAACAAAAGGCGGCGCCACAGTGGCTACGGCGGTTTTGGTCCCCCCACTCCAAGTCCTTCCCCCAAAAGAGCAACCGGCCATCGCGCCTCACCAGCGGCCCCCCGGCGCTGCCATCGTCGGGCTTGACCGTGAACTGGTGGCTGCCCACGTTGGAGGACCAGATCCAGGTGGTCGCGTCATCGTTGCTTTTAGTCAGCACGGTCACCCTGTGGCCGGTCACGTGGGTGGACGAGTAGGTGGGTGACGGATGAATGATCGCGTGGGCAGACGGAGGGGTGGGTGGACAGGAGGTTGGGTGAGTGGATGGGTGGATAGACAGAGGCGTGGGAGGGTGCGTGGGTGGGAGGGGAAAAAGCAGGATTGCGGGGCAAGGAGGGCGCAGAGGGGAACAGCGCACGAAACAGCTGCGTGCAGGGGCATGCGGACACTGGGGGCTGTGGGGGCCGTAATGCCCGATGAGGGGGGGTGCGCCGGTCCCAAACCGCGCGCCATCGCCTCCTGCGGCCGGCCCGCTGCCCAGGCGACCCTCCCAAGCCCGCATTGACCCTCGTCGTCCTCCCGCCCCCCTTCCCCCAACCAAGCAGCGTCCGCTCACTTGTCCGCCACAAGGAATGCCGAGTAGAAGCCCACGCCGAACTGGCCGATGAGGTTGGTGTCGCCCTTGGCGCCCTGCACCGCCTCCATGAACTTGCGGGTGCCGCTGCGGGCGATCGTGCCCAGGTTGGACAGCAGCTGCTCGTGACTCATGCCGATGCCAGAGTCCCTGGCGAGGGGGGGAGGGCGCGCAAGTCAAGCAAAAAGGATCAGAAGCCGAACGGGTGATACTGGGAGGCCTGAAACAGCGCATGCAGGGTCGCAAGCTGGACGCACGAAAGGGGTGGCAGGTTTGCGCCCGCCGCTGCGGGCCGCGGCCGCCTTCGAGCCCGGCCAACCGGCGGTCCCAATGGCAGTCCAGATGCGCCCCCGCGCGCCCCCCGCGCACTCGATGGTGATGGTGTTGGCCTCCGCGTCGGCCTTGATCAGGATCTCGAGGTCCTCGCGCCCCTTGAGCGCCGCCTGGTCGGTCACCGACGTGAACCGCAGCTTGTCGAGGGCGTCCGACGCGTTGGAGATGAGCTCGCGGAGGAAGACCTCCCTGTTGGAGTAGAGGCTGTTGACGATCATGTCCATGAGGCGGTCGACCTGTTTGGGGG